AAACATCACAAAAACAAAAAAAATCCCGCCCCGCGGACAGAAGAGTAGTCGTGCAAAAAAAAAAAATACAACACGAGAGAAAAAAAAAAAAAGGATGTGGAGATCCGCTTTCATGAAGGATCACATCTCTCTCAACGTGTGGACGAAGGACAATCGATGCCGTTTTTTCCCATTGGCGTCGCGGTCAACAGTTCAGATTTTGGTAAGGACGAAAACAACACAAACCTAAACCTCTCCCAACACATACCAGCAGCACCAGCGAGTGGACTACAGCACTCGGGAAGATTTCCTCGCCTGTGCCACCTTTCTCTCCTACTTCCCCCGTGGCGTCAACGATGACATGTGAAGACTTTGGTGGATTTCAAAACCAAGACACAAAACGATCCAACCCTCGCAACGCATTCCAGCAGCGGCGGCGGCGAACGGATCATACTTGAAGAACTCCTCCGCCCACCTGTGCCACCTTCTCCCCGACTTCACCGTGGCCGTCCATGACGGCAAGGAACAGCGTCGCCGTCGACGCGTCCTCCGCCATGATAAGCGCGTCTTGGTTGTGCTTCCGCGGGTTGTGCGGGGCGTAGCCCTTCTTCGAGAAGCCGGCGTAGCTGTGCGTACGTTCGGCACACGCGTGTCACAGACAGGCACGCACCAAGATAGTAAGCGATTTTTTCCCCCATTTATTGCCGCACTTGTCCTCTGTGCATCGTGGCGTATGAGCTTTCTCCGACTTTGGCCGCGATGAGCCTGACGTCTTCTGCGAACAAGAATATCGTGGTTTTCTTAAGGAGCTTTTTTTCCGACTTTGCCGCACTCTGAGACTGACGTCCTTTCATAGGTCAGCCGGTTAGCGCGGTCAACATCGGTAATGACACGCACACGCACTCACAGGGTCCCAGACCGTGGCCAATAGAAGCATTTGATTGGTCAGCCGGTGAGCGCGGCCAATCTCAATAATGAACCACACACTCAAAATGGCCGACTATAAATTGTCCCGCTCGGAGACTGAAGTCGTTTGAAAATTCTCTGTCTCTTGGTACGGTCGATCCTATATACACGCACGTACCGCAAGGCTACACTCCCGCTGGGTCCACTCTCCAAAGCTCGACCGCTCCACGACAAAGAGGATGTACGCATACAACCGTTACGTTTTCGAAAACTTCTCGACGAAAACGTCCATTTCAACGCCGTCGTTCTCGGCGCCGTCAATAGTTTAGCTGTGGAGAAAAGTCGAGCTCCGAAAATCGGGTCAGGTGGTGTGATATCATACGTCATGCCACAAAATGTATGCACACACGCCAACACAATCCCACAAGGACGAAAAAGCACGGCGGTAATTCACAACGCACAAGAACGCCAGCTCGACACCAAACACGGCGTTACACGTTGGGCGCCTGACGAATTGGTCGCGAGGAACAACAGAGAGAGATACGGTCTGAATGTTTAACATGATTGTGTGATTGCTGAATAACAGTAACATCTACCTGATCTTTGTAGATATACAAGTGATCCCTCCGGAATGGGCTCATGAGAGCACAGCGTAATCAAGGGGTGATGAAGGATGACCGAAAAAAGCAGGCAGCACGCCCAATCCACAGGCTGACTGCCAGCTGCGGTTTAACGTTCCCCAAGCTCGACGGCTGACACAGCTGAGGCGACAGCTGACACAGCTGACGTGCTGTTGAGTGGACAAGTCCAGCGAACCACAACGAACCAAAAAAAAAAAAGTCCTGTACACAACGTTATTCGCCCATCAGAGGATGCCCGCCGCAGCAGTCCGATACAATGACACCCGCTGGATTTTCGAGACTGTTGCCCGCCGGGAAGCTATCGCTGTGTGCCGACGAAGACTACAGAACGCGCCCGCACTCAAGAACCCAGGCTCTAAGAAATTGAGCCTCATCAAAATCAAAATTGAAGAACTTGAGCACCATTTGTGAGCTCGGTTAAGGGCACCTACACTAAATCCTATATAGCGACCATTCGTAGCGTGACCCTAGGAATACAGCAAGAACCCAAGCATCGGCCGAAGCTACAACAGAGGTTCTAAAGTGGTGGCGCGTCCTGTAGTACCGTAGAACAAGCAGTGGCAACTCCTCTACAACACCATAACAGCGTGGAACGCAGACCATACACGAGAGAGATGAGCTAACGTGCCGCAGGCTAGAATCGGGTACACCCGCCCCCCCCGTCCCGTCCTGTCGAGGACACGTGGTCAGTGGTCTGACTGCTAAGGTAGGCAAAACAAGAGTACCCGTATGGAAGGAAGAAAAGCACAAGATGCCGAACAGCCTTGGCAGGATGCAGCCAGCGCACCCTCCATGCGATTCGCTGAATACCTCAAGACGCTTCGCGCTTCGTGATGTGCGAGCCTGGTCCGGTAAGAATCCGGCGTGCGCCGTCCCGGCTTTGTAGGGATGCGAGGTCAATGGTGTCACGACTGCGGCAAGCACGACTATGAGTACACCCCCCCTGAGTAACCCCCCTTCGTTCTCTGGGGAACGCTGGTCAAGCTGCTGAACACTGGAATAACATGAGTGCACCTGCCCCTCCACCCACCTAGAAACGATGCAAAAGGCTCTGCATTCGTCCTCCTCTTCGTCCGACTCGCCCTCCGCCCCGTCCAGGTCTTCCCCTCCCATCCGTGCGCCGCCGACGTCGCCGCGTCCCCCCCCCCCCCCCCCCCCCCCCCCCCCCCCCCCCCCCCCC